AGCCTTCTCAGTCGGTAGAGCATGGGAAACTAGAAAGTCCTTGGCCAGTGTAAGCATTACCTAGCAACAATTAAAACATGGGTGCCTTATCAATTTTGTTCCCATCCTAAATCTAAAACACAGCACTGTACCAGCTACTAGGAAGGAAATTAACTCTATCCCTGCTGAAACCAGGACACTATGGTTAATCAGCTGTGGCAAGCAGGAAGCTTTTTAGATAAGTGCCATTAGCAACTGGATAACCCCACATTTCATTAAAAATACATGTGCAGTCTATCCTTTGTGACTAACGCTAATGAGAATTATGGCTAGTTCGTGCAGCCAGGACTCCCTTTGTCTGAAGAAGAGGTTGTTGCTCTTTTCAGCTACCAAAGAACAGCACTTTTCCACTGTTGCTCTTTAAAAACCTCACGGGCAGGCAAACAACCAGCTTCACATCAAGAGCCTGGAGCAGCAGCTAGTCAAAAAGGATGAGGGGGAAAGAGGCAGAGAGACTGGGGAAGAGAGCAGCAGAAACTCCCCAAACTTTCTTTCCTACAAGTACATTCAGCACCCCACCGACAAGAGGCAGGAGAATGGTTTCTCTTTCCTTCCTGCATTTCTAAGGAGCTGGTGATTTCACACCTGTCAGATACCGAGAAGCTTATTTCAGAGCTAGACTTTAACTGTGTCTGAGAACAGCTCGCCAGCTGTTCTTCTCCTTCCCTCCAGTTCGCACCAGTTTCTCACTCCAGCGTCATTTATTTTCTCATTTTCAGTCCTTGTTTTGCTATAGTCAGTCTTTGGCTCACTAGCAGCACAGAATTCAGAAAAAGCGCCCGTATTTCATGTCCGTCTCTCGCAGGCGATGCGCAGGCAGCCTTTCACAGCAGAGGCACCTGCACGGAGAAGCGCTGCAGAGAGACCACCTCAGCTCAGAGCAGAGGACGGGGTGCAGGGACCAGGCTGGCACGCCTCGTCCTTACCTTCCCAGTATAGGCACAGAAGAAACGGACTGGTAAAAGCAGGAGAGGTCAGTGGCAGGGAGTAGAGCCAGCCTCCAGGGAGGAACTGAGCAGAGGACTTTCTGCAGAATTAGCTCCTGCATCTGCAGGCACATACTTGGCTCCTGAGGAAATGCCGTCGGCTTCCAAAAATAACAGCGTTGTTCAGACCAGTGCCCTTTTGCCCCTACAGTACCTATGCAGATGCTCCTTTTCAAATTACACTGTGGGCAGGAGCCTGAAGGAGCTCCAGTGTAGTACTTTTAAGTTCTGTAAATGAAAATAGGTCTCCTGAAATTGATTTCTTCCTGGCCCATATTGTTCATTTGCATAAGACATATAGCTGCAAAAATTAAGTATATGTAATCCACACTTTGGATTATTAAAAATACCACAGAAATGTTTTGGAACACAATTAAAACTGAATGTTACTGAAAATGTACTGAGTTGTCAGTATTAATTATATGCTGCAGGGTTTAGGGTTCTTTTTATCCTATTATATGGCACTTGTTCATTTAGTAAACTAAATTGATGTTAAGTAGCTATTCTGTAACACTATAGAGATTGTCAAATACTAGCGGTGGGAAAAATTACCTTTATCTAGCTTTCATCTACTTGGCTGAGGTTCCTGTAAGAGGTAAGTCACACTTTTATGTACAGCTTGGGTACTTTATGTTTAAAGGATCTATAAAAAGACACAGTGCAAAAATAAATTTATAAAACATGTATATGAGATTTTTTTCCAAGCTGTATGGGAGGTTTAAATAAGCTCTACTAGCCATAATTTTAAAGCAGTACCACCTTGAAAATTCCAAAATAATACATCAATGCAAACCAGGCACAGGGGTATTCTGTATTATTTCCTACTTGCTGAATAAACTTAATGAAATTCAATGCTCTTCTGACTGTGAAAAAGTGGACTAGGGAATAAGCTCCTTGAATTTTATTATCACTTGTTCGGGCATCAGTCATACAAGCTGAAATCCTTCCCAGCACAATTCCTGCACCTAGTAAAACTTCATTAACAAGCGTATGTTTACAGAGCCATACAGACAGCTGGACTATGGATGGTATCACGCAGATACAGCACATGTAATTTTTAAGTACCTACCACCATCTAGAGGAAATACATCGTACTGCCTAAAAACCAGCATTAGAAAATCAAGTTCAGTGTTATTCAAATAAGCGGGTGTCAAACAAGACAGATGGCCTTAATATATGTCTATGTTGCCCATCCTGTTCCACTCCTGACCTCCCCACAGGCTGAAGAGAAAGACTGCCTTTCAGTTCCAGCAGCTACCACAGTTGGGCTTTTACCTCAGATAGGAGAAAAGAGTGATATTTCCTCTTCTAAAAAAAAATATTAAAAATTCAATAGCTAACTGAATCTCATTGAATATTCTTAGATCACAGCGATAAATTTTGTTATTGTTTATAAGGCTCCTGGGCTAGCTTCAGCAACAGCTAACTCTGACTTCTACTCGCGTAAAACTTGTATAAACATCCCTACGCCAAGATGCGATGTCCGGTCAGCTGGGCTGGAGAGGAAGCAGAAAGCAGATTGTGACCCACCAGCCTGCCGCCTGTGCAAGCTCCAGGAGCAACCTTGCGCCGGCCCACCCGCTCCCACAGCCCACCGGTCCCCAGCGCCCAGGAGCAACGCCGGAGGGATGGCAGCAACGGGAACTGCTGTTCCTCCCGCTCCTCAAGTCACAGAGGAACCGGCTGGCAAAACAGAAGTGGCACCAGTCTTCAGCTAGTTTGGGTGAACCCAGCCATAAAAGGCAAATCAAAAGAAAGAGAGAGGGAGAAACACCAAATCCTACACAAGTACATACATGTCTTTTCTGTTTGGTGCACAGGAACACATTAAAACTCAGACATTTAAATCATTAAAAAAAAACAAAACCAAACCTGAAATGCTTATTTTTACTGTTTGCACCATTTTTTAATTTCTTCGTTTATTTGTTTGGGCAATGACAGCAGATCATTTGGTTTCATACGCAGGTCGTAGCAGGAGCTCAAAATGCAAACTTCCAGAGGAGCCTCTGTCACTTAAAAACTGAACTAAGCACAAGTAAAACTCATAGAATAATTTATATGGAAAAGAAAAAGAATAAAAAGTGAAAGTAAATAGAAGAGACCAAGGGCAGATACTAGGACAGACTACAACATGTACATGGGTTTTACTAAAAAAACCCAAAACAAACCACCACCAAAAAACAAACAGAGGTGAATAGCAGCTATCAAACGCAACACCCCAAAACCACTCTGTGCCAGCAGGATAGCTACAGGGGCAGTGCGGGTGCAAATGAAGATGCTCTTCATTTCATTATCTGGGCTGTAGAGCAGTCTAATGCTCTAAAAAGGAGGCTCACGTTTGTGATGAAGTTCTCTGAGCAGTCCTGCGTTTCTCTTCTCTCTACCTTGGTTCAAAAACCACAGTATGTAATAGTCTAATACTTGCGTAAAGAGGAACTACATTTCCCCTGCCATTTACGTACCAGCCACTCAATCTGGACTTTTACTCAGTGCTGAGAACCCAGAGCACACAGTTTTGCTATCCACGGGTGCTTGTTTGGTTGGGGTTTTTTATTCACACCTTCCCCCTCCCCCCAAAAAAAAGAGACCTGAGCAGACCTGGTCTCTAACCTTTGTCCATCTCACATTTCACAAAGGTCAGACAAAGCTGCTCTTTGGAAACTCAGGGTGGATATTATAGAGACCCTGTTTGGGTAGACCCATCCACTCAGAAGGACAAAAATGAAACAAACGGGACAGGCCCTAATGTACAAAAAGCTGATGACGGGGATTTATTTATTTTTTTTTAAAAACACAAATATATTCCTTCCTCTCAGAGATCTTAAAAGCCTATTTATGGCATTTTTCAGACCCTCAAACCATTGGAAGGAGGCACTCTCCTGATATTCAACTCTTCCACCAGATAGCTCAAAACAAGGGGGAAAAAAAAATATTGAGCAGGATCCTGAACAGGAGATGAACTCAAGCAGGAAGAAGTTCCTTCGTGTTCAAATTATATGCAACACACAAAACATTGTCTTTTTTCAAAAGCTTTAACATGCTTGGAAAAACAGTTTGCAAGTTCTCTTTTTAAAGAATCAGGACTTACAGAGGTATGGTCCATTGAGAAAAGAAATAGTGAAAAAAAAAAGTAGTCTTTACATCCAAATATAAAACCAGAACAACTTTTAGCATTACCGAGCACTGCAACAACCCCATATCTTCCATCCCTCACCACAAACAAACAAAAAAAAAAAGAAAGAAAAAGCACTGTTCTCTTTGAAATACAAATACGCTCTACTACGTTGTCTTTTATGACCGATCATCTGAGGTTTTACAGCGTGACTGTCTGGAAAACCCTCTGATAAGAAGCAAACACCACTTTGCACCCACAAAACACCAGGACTAAGGAGAAGAGAGGAGATTTCCAAAGGGAGTGGAGGAACGGCAGGGAGAAGGCAGCAGGAAGAAACAACCCGCCAGCATTTCTGCTGATGCTTCCACTTCTGCGTGCACAAGCGCAACAACCTTTCCTAAGCCGCTCAGTCATTTCCACTCGCAGCTGGCCCTCCTCGCCCCAGGGAGCCCGGCCCCTGCTCCAGAGAAGCCGCAGCTTCAAGGGGAGCCGGCGGAGGTTTCCGGGGGCAGAGGGGACAAGGCAGGGTGGGGGTGCGCACACCCTGCCACTCACCGAGGGGGGGAGAGGGGCACTGCCCGCCACCCCCTCACACCTGCGCCTCGACTCTATGACTCCGGCTCTACGCAGGCAAAGATGAACATGTTCACATTTTGCAAACCAACAGCGTGTGTCTTACAGACTACAGTGCTGAGCGGGCTGGGGATGGAAAGGCGGGCTCCTGCCCGCCTAACAGGTTCCTCTCCAACTTGCATCAAGGACGTAGGCGAGATGCGAGGGAGAGACCTGAACAGGTCGCAATCCTTCAGCTGAAGGTGCAGCTCGAAATGGGAGCGGTGGCCCTGCACAGGCACCGGACCGTTGCTAGTGGTCCCTGACCGGCAGCCCCTGCTCCTGCATCCCCCCACTGCTCCCGCATCCCGCCTCCCCATGGTTTTTCACCCCGGCCTGCCCGGGAAGTGAACTCCCCTGCAGGCTCGCTGTCTGTATGCAAACCAGGCAGGTTTAAGAGTATCCTATCCCCATTTTGTTCAAATGCATGAAGATTTGAATTAAAGCACACAAATGCAAAGTTAATGTCTCAAATCTAAGACTCAGTAATACAAATTGGCCCATCTAACGACCTTGGTTTCTTGTGTGGGCGATAAAATCAGTACAATATGAATGCATGTTAATAGCGTCGGAGACTCTTGTAGCCACTGGGAAAACTTTTTTCAGAGAAATACTAAGTATCTTTTCAGAGACAGTTCCAACAAGAAACTGTTTCAACTGTCTTTGTGTGTTCTGAAGACCTTTTTTTTTTCCTACCCAAAAATTGTTACAATAATACAGAAATTACATTTTACTAGCAAATTTAATCCCGAGCTGAAGCAGTATGCACTGCTTTACATTGACTAGAGACAAAGAGAGAAACTCTGTCCCCCTCTGCTACTCTCCATTTTGGGAGGGGGAGAAGCAAGGAGGCCTATATTTTAATGAAAATACTCAGAAGGAAAAGCCACAACCAAGCAGAGAAAGCTCTGATGACAGATGTTGAACCCACACCGGTGTATACCTGACTCCGCAGCACACACAGCTGAGCAGCTTATAGCAGGGTCTCTTTTTTTTTTAGCCACTTACCACAAAACAGCGCCATCATCTAAAACAAAAAGTGCTGGGTGCAATTTGTGGGTTTTGTGTACGTAGACATGTTAACAGGTCCCGCAGGATGACTGAACACAATTTACATGGTTCCAACATTATTTTTTTTTTTTTTAAAGATGGCTGAATGGTACTGTCTATCCGAGCTGTTACAGCAGCATGCTATTTAAGCATTAGCTTCATGGACTGTGGTAATAAACAAGGCACCTGAAGCAGGCAACATTTGAATTTCAAAACACGGCAGCTTATGCTTTGCTGTACCCTCCTGATGGCTAGGTCTGGGATGGACGTTTTGCAAATACTAACTGCCACGAAAAACTAAGAGGAAGAGAAAAAATTACCAGCCGTTCCATCTCCTGCTCCCGAAGCCGCTATTCCCTCTGCCTCCTGTGATAG